GAATCATTTAATTAATTAAATGCCGAATTATTCGATCCTTTTTGTTTGGAAACCATTTTTTCTTCCCTTCCTCCTCTCCTAATTTTTCAACACATGTGTTACCAGAATTAGATTTGGACGTTCTTTTGGCCGAATTTAATTAATTCCAAAATTCTTTAATTTTTAGTATTTTATTTCTATTTTTTTATTTTTAATTTTTATTAATTATTTGTATTCACGCCCCCCGTGACTAAGTGTAGTAATGTGACCAATGAATGGCTTTAAAATGTGATTATTTTATTGGTTCATCTTTGTCTTAGTCACAGGAGGGGTGCGAATAACAAAAATGGGAGGTGCAAATAACAATTCTCTTATTTTATTGTAAAGTAATTATAGCTGACTTCAATTGGCCAAGGAAAGTAAAAGTAAAGCAAATAAAAGGAACTCTACATGAGCTTTATTGCTTTGCTAATTGTACCATAGAGTGTTTACAGATTCACCAAAGCTTTAAGAAAGAGGTAGTAGGTAAAAATTTATATTTTTGTCCAAGAATGGTCCGGGACATTTAAAGTGGCGGACACGGACACGGACACGGACAGTCACGGACCGGACAGTCCGTGTCCATGTCCGCGTCCGCTGACAACACTGAATATAATTAATCATATGTCTTTAACAAAACAAACATGACTTAACTATTTAATCATTTCCTTGTATGTAAATGCCTCCATCCAACAAATATTCACAATGGTCATGATTATTATTCAATACATTTGATATCATTATTGACATAACAAACAATTGCATCACCCAAGTAGTAATGATACCAAGGCCATGCATAAATGAAACTTTTAATAATGTGTGTCTACCCAGGTCTTAGAGGTTCACAAAATAACTTACTTTGCCTTATTATCAATTGTAGTTCCTTATGAATAATAAATCTGATCTTGACCACAGGTGTCAGATTTAATTAAAACTTTCCTGACATAAACATTGCAAACGGGTGCTTTCACACCATCTCATCCCTATAGAATTTTATCCACAGGCGAGACACTTACAAGTTGAAAGGCTTTGGACAAAAACTTTCCCTTATCTTCCTCTCAGACCAGGCTTGCTGTCACCATATGGGCATTGATCACTTATATCTGGTGCTTGTGTGATGATTGCTTTGTGTTATACCTCTCTAGAATAAAGTCAGTGTCTGCACCTGTTTCAAAATTCAACAACTCAGGAGATTGTAACCTGGGTTGCTCTTTTGGATTTTCTCTGGATTCAGAGTTTGAGTCCTGGGTTGCTGT